TTTTCTATATTTAAACACAAATTTGCTATTTTCACTAAAATCGGTCCGTTTTTTAAAATAAATAATTGCAAACGAAAGCTGAGGTTTTTCCCGTTCTGTATACAAATTTTCAGAATACCGATTTTTTTCGAGATATTAAATGTCAAAGATTTTATGTATGCTTTTAATAAACAAATAAAACAAAATGTCCTTTATTTTGTTTTCGAAATATTAAGTAATGAAGCCGTTCGTTGGCACAGACGCGTTTACGCATCAAATTTTTTCGTGCCGACGTGGCATTGACGCGTCAACCATTTATTTCATATACCCTTTCGTGCCCCAGCGAAACCACCGTACGGATTTGCTTCAAACTTCCCATTCGGGGGTATTTGGGGTCGCTGTTTACGAATCCGATGTTAGTTTTTCAAAATTCAAAATGGCGGATCTAATATTGCAGCCAATATTTTAAAAAATTGCTTGAATATGCTTAAAAATTGTCAATCGGGGGTTTTTGGGGTCGCTCATTACAAATTCGATGTTAGTTTATTAAAATTCAAAATGGCGGATCTAATGTGGCGGACTTTTTTCAAAAATCATTTGAATTCGCTTAATAATTAGTATTCAGGGGTTTTTGGGGTCGCTGATTACTAATCCAATGTTAGTTTTTAAAAATTCAAAATGATATATCCAATATGGCAGAATTTTTTTCATAAATCGTTCGGATTCTCTTAAAAATAAGTACTCATGGGTTTATAGGGTAGCTGATTAAGAATCCGCCCTAATATCACAAGATATCTAGGGATTTATTGATAATATCCCGCAGATATCCTAGGGATGTCCTATGGATATCAAAAGGATCTCTTAAGGATATCCAAAAAATCGGCGGATATCCTTTGGATATCCCATGGATATCTGAGGATATCCACAGGATATCTTCTGGATATCTCTATAGACTTTTATAAATGTCCTCCAGATATCCCATAGATATCGTCAGGATATCCCACAGATATCATCAGGATATCCCATAGATATCGTCAGGATATCCCACAGATATCATCAGGATATCCCATAGATATCGTCAGGATATCCCACAGATATCATCAGGAAATCCCATAGATATCGTCAGGATATCCCACAGATATCATCAGGATATCCCTAGATATCGTCAGGATATCCTACAGATATTTTCAGGATATTCTCAGTATATCTTCTGGATGTCAAGAAGATATTCTCAGGATACTGTTTTTAAAGTCATTATGAGACTACGAGTGAGAATATTCTGTGAATTAAATTTTATATAAATAAAATAAAATGCAACTTGTTTTTCGAGAAAGTTGTTAAATTTGAAAAATTATTAACTAATTTTTTTTCTCATTCGTGATTCATTCCTTTATTTATATGCTTAATATCGTCAGAAAATAAATTGGCTTTAAACATTATAAATTCTTCCCCGCAAATAACGAATAACTATTAATATTATTACAAAATAACATAAAACTGTTTTATGTGTTTTTCTTTACCTTCCTTTGATCGAATTTACTTCATATCAAAATATTAATATTAGTTATACATTAAGTGCATGAGTTTATTTAAAAACTTTGAAAAATGCGTTTCAAATCATCATTTAAAATAAATTAGAAGCTCATAAGATTTTTGTTTTTATTATATTATAATTCATTATATCAGCTTAACAATTTTAACCTTTAAAAATATATGTTGAGATATTAAATATCCCGTGAATATCCTAAGAATATCCCACGGACATCCTGAGGATATCCCAGGGATATCCTGCGATATAATATCCAATAGATATTTTGTGGATGTCCCACAGACCGGCGGTTTGGATATCCTATGGATATCCCAAGATATTTTAGGGACAATTCTAGGATATCGACCATTGATATGGATATCCTTTTGTTTAGAGGGCGAAGTCAGAATTACAAAATTCAAATTAGCAGATCCAATATGGCGGATGAATTATAACAAAAATCTTGGTTTCTTTTTAAAAATATTGGATTTCCGTGAATATAAGTATTTTAGGGATTTTGGGGTGGCTGATCAGCCATTATTAATTTTTCAAAATTTGTAGAATCTGACATTATATTTGTATTGAGCGACCTCAAAAATCCTCAGAAACCCATTTTTTAAGAAAATACAATGATTATTAAAAAAATCGTTCGCCATTTTGAAGATTTAAAATTGTCAAAATAATACTCCAGATTCGTAATCATCGATTCTAAAAAACCCCAATAAAACACATTTTTTAGTAAAAAACATTGATTTTCAGAAAAAAACGTCCGCCATACAGTGGACTGTATCTAAGATTTAAACTATGAAAAACTAAAGTCGAATTCGTAATCAGCGACCCCGAAATTCTCCATATAGAGAGTTTCAAACGAATCCGACCAATTTTTAAAAAAATTCCGCCATTTTGAAAAACTAACATCGAATTCGTCATCAGCAACCCTGAAAACCCCCGCGTAGAGAGTTTCAAGCGAATCTAAACGATTTTTGAAAAAAAGTCCGCCATATTGGATCCGACATTTTGAATTTTGAAAAACGAACAACGAATTCGTAATCAGCGACCCCAAAAACCCCAGGACACCAATTTTCAGAAGAAAAAATTTTCTGTACATTTTGGGCACTTTTTGTCGAATTCCTTCTACCAACAAAGGGGTTAATTAATTAATTTTAAAAAAATGAAATATTTTACAAACAAATAAAGTTACCGTAATTATGAACTTACCGATCGAAAGTCAACGTAATTCCGCATCCAACCTGTCCTATATGTAGTATTTTGGATTAGTGGATTGTTAATAAACAATTGGCTAACATTGCAATTGTTTATAAAAATTCTCTAATCCAAAATAGTTAATATAGGGCTTTAAATGCGGAATTACGTCAGCTTTCAATTGGTAGCTTCAGAATTGCAATAACATTATTTATTTGTAAAATATTTCATTTTTTAATACCTATTAGGAGAGAGGGCCCCAAGATGGACATAGTTTTGATTTTGTGCTCTAGAATCCAAAAATTTTAGGATATTTAAAAATGGTGCATACCGTATGAAAGTACAATAAATAAGGTATCCTATGGCCATAAAGAAAAAATTTTAATTTGCAAACAAACATTTTTTAAAGAATTTTTTCAAATTGTTGTAAATTTCGATTTGAAAAAAGTGGCCACAAGATGGACACCTTCATAAAATGCATTAAAAAACGGGCAAAATAAAAATAAAATATCAAGTAAGGATTTTTAAACCAATTTTCTGTTTCTTTATTATATTTTTTAAAAGTTCTAACATTTTTTAAATGTTAAAAATTAAATAATATTGTAAGAAAATTAATTTTAACGAGATTAATTTAATTAAATTAATTTATTTACTTTATCCAATCTAATTTATTTAATTTATTTAATAAGAGATTAATTATTTTATAATTAATGAAAAGAAATTAACGATAAATCCAGCTCTAAGCTGAATTGTCTGTGTCACAATTCGGATATTCGTGCCAAGGTCCGCAGATTTTAGCTACACGGAGAGAAATTTCTTACTTTGAAAATACCAATACTATACTAGCGATTTTCATATGTCCGTTTTGTTAACAGAAACGCTTAAAGTTATACTAAAATAGTTCCAAAAATTCCCATGCGTTAAAAGATCACTGGTATTAACGTTATTAGTGTATCCACGTATCCACGTGATATGTGTTACAGGAAGAAAAATAATTCTTTCCGATCCGTGTTTATATAAAAAGCTTCATGTAAACAAACTAAATCAGTAAAAAAAATCACGAGTCGATATATACTTTGTGACGAAGTAATTTGTCACAATGCCATTTTCGAGTTGGTTTGGTTTTTCGCACGTTCGGCAGTTCAGAGGGCAGGTCGAGATAGGAGTCCGGGACGTGGCGTCATCACGGCGGCCTTTATCGGAACGTGTAAAAAAGAGGACGACGAGGATCCAGAGAGAAGGCGAATCAATATGGCGAGAGCGGGCTCGTGAAAAGTAGAGAGTAGGAGAGAGTTTTTGAGTGTAAAAATAAAGAAAGACTAAAAAGAGTGTAGTGTGTAATTCTTTGGCGTACATCCCAAGAATACCTGAGGTCCATCAGAATATTCCAAAAAGGGGTTATCGTTTCGTTTTTGCATTGGAATAATCTTGACGGGAAGGCGTTCAGTGGGACTTGGACGGATCACCAGAGGGTCTTTTGTGAATTTGTCGTCGTGGGTAAGCCCAATTTTGTTGTGTTGTGTCTCAAGGGTCGTGTCCCTTTTCTCGACTTGTGTTCTCGACAGAATCTCCTCTGAGATTTATTTTGTTGATTTTGAGTTTTGGGGTTATTTTGTGTTTTCTCGGGTTTGTCAATTCCTTTCAAAAATTGGCTGGCGTCTGACAATTTTCACGTAGGGTTATCTTTTTGTAACTTTAAAAAGGGGTTATTAATTAGCTATATTAATTAATTCAATAATTTCGTTAAAACTTATACGAAAATTTTATATCAAATGTCCATCTTGGGGCCCTCTCCCCTAATTAATTAATTAATATTTCGAAAATAAAAATGATATTTTGTTTAGTTTGTTTATTAAAGGCAAACATTTTAAGTTTCATTTAAGAGGTAAAAAAAGAAATAAAAACTGTCCTTTATTAAAAAGAAGTCAAAAATATTTTTGATTTTCAAAAAAGGGTAAATTTTGAATTAAAAAAAAACTATATACTATTCCTTAAATTTGTTCAAAAGCCAAAAAAAGGCATAGAAATACGGAAACAAAAAATTAATAAATATAATTTTTATAAAAATTGTATATATAAATGTTTTTGGGATGGCGAATTACGAATCTGTGGTTAGATTTTCAAAATACAAAATGTCGGATCTAATATGTTGGAGGGAATTTTTTAAAAAATTGTTATATTTTTATGGAACTTGGTATCTAGAGGTTTTTGGGATTTTTGAACAACTTCAAGAGGTAGTTTCAACCATAGTCAGTCACGCAATTTATTATTAGGTTAACTATATTCTTACCTTTCTTGCTTTTATTTCAGCTATATCATCCATAATGTCTAATTGAAGATTATGAGCACTACCACTATTGCTGGAAGGTCTCGTGATCCCAGTACTAGATTCTCGTCGACTAGAAAATACTCTGGATACTCCCATTGATAAAGCTGCAATAGAATCTCGACGATTGCTGAATAAATAGTGAGGTACTTTTGAAATTGTTACAACGGAATGTCTTCGTCCGCCTGGTTGAGGAGCTAGTGCTTGAGAAAGTGTGGCAAGAAATGCTGCTTCTCTTGGTGATGGGCCTGATCCTTCTCTTTCACTTAAGCGGCGCACCTATTAAATTTTATAGAAAACATCTTATGTTTAATCATATTAACTTTAACTCAAAGGAGTTACATTTTTACTGATAATTTTTATTTTAAGATATTAGATTTCCAGGATTTAGAGAAGCTATTATTATTTTTTATTAACGTATTATTTAACTATTATTATGAAATTTTTAATAACGATTTATTTAATATTTAGGGAATAATTCAAATTACATTCGTTATCCATTTTAATAAAATTTAAATACATTAGAAATTGAGTTTATTCAATTATTGGAAGTGAGAAATAAAACACCAAATCACTTGTTTGGCAAAGTTTCGGTGTCTTGGTTTGACACCATCATCAGGCCACTAGTTAAATTAAATTTAATTAGTTACATTAGTAACACCTCTAATTATTTGTCAAAACTTACAAAAACAAATTTTGAAGGCGAGGTATCACCCGTCGTAAAGCAAATTAAAAACTTTAATTTTAATTTAGTTTTTAATTTGATTTACAATGGGTGATACTTCGCCTTCAAAAATTGTTTTTGTTATTTTTGACAAATAACACAGGAATACACGGTTTTGGACTCGAGCAATGAAGACCTGTTCCTAAAGTAAATTTTAATGCTGAATTCGAATCCACAGTCCGTTTTTTACTACACGTCAGGTTTTTTAGATAATTGCAATTTAAAATTTTTTATGCTTTTAACAAAATTGTTATTGTTAATTAAACTATATTACTTATAAAAAAAGTCATAACTTTGTTCAAGGTTTTTGGGGTCGCTGATTACAAATATGAAGTCAGATTTTTAAAATTTAAAAGGCGGATTTAATATGGCGGTCGACTTTTCAGAAAATCGCTTCAATTCACCAAAAACTCGTTACTCGGGGGGTTTTTGAGGTCGTTGATTACGAATTTGACATCAGATTTTTAAACGAGTTTTAAGCAAATCCGATCAATTTTATAATTTTTTCTGCCATATTGGATCCGACTTTTTGAATTTTAAAAATCTGATGCGATATTCGTAATCAGCGACCCTTATAATCCTCGAGTAACAAGTTTCAAGCAAATCCAATTGATTTTTCATTTTTTTCCGCCATTTTGAATTTTGACGGGATACAGAAAATCTAATAATAGATTCGAATTCAGTATAAAAAATACGTAAAGAAACGCTCTTGCCTTTATGGGTTTTGAAAGTTGACCCGAATTTGTAAACCTGTGTAATTAGACGTGTTACTAATGTAACTAATTAAATTTAATTTAACTAGTGGCTTGATGATGGTGTCAAACCAAGACACCGAAACGTAGCCAAACAAGTGATTTGGTTTTTTATTTCTCACTTCCAATAATCGAAAAATCTTAATATCTAATATCAAAATAATGAAAGGAAAAAATATTTAATAATAATAATAAAATTTAAATATGTTACAAACATAAATAAGTCAATTTGTAAAAAATTTAATCGTTTTTAAAAAATATAAAAATGTAATTTTGAAATATAAAAAAATAATTTGAGGAGTTATTTTTTAAAGGGACAATACAAATTCTATCCTAGGTATTGTTTTGATGTCTAAATAATGTCGACTTGACTTTGGATGACAGCAAACAAATGTCGGTTCGACGTCAGTATCTAATACTGATTTAATATTTCAAGAAGATCGAAATGTAAGTATCGAACGTATTGTTTTTTAATAATCTTCCAACCTTAGGAACCCATACAGTCTCGACATTATTTTGATGTTGACGTCGGTATCCAATAATAATTTGGAGTTGGAAGGTGGTTGAAATGAATGGTAGGACTATGAATGAATGAATAAAATATTAATAAATAATAACTGAATTAAATAACATCAAAACAACATTCACACCTTCAAAAATAAATTTAATTGTGCAATAAACAAAATTAAATTGTAAAAGTAATCATAAAAGATTTTTAAAAATAAATATTTCGTAGGGTGAATTTAATTTATTATATTATACTTCTTTATTTTATACCACACATGCTCGAAAAACTAGTTTCTAATCGCTTTACACTAATAATAAAACAAGGTTCTGAGCATACTTGAAGTTAAAAATGGTAAACTAGGACTTTCCTTGTACTCTGGTAGCCAGCGACAGATTTTCGGGACCAATTTTCTCCCAACCGATAATTTGTGAAATAACTGGGGCACTTGGGTCATTTAGCCCCGTGATCGTCAGCTGTTCTACCGGCGGTGACTTGGGGCGTTACACCCCTCTAATGACGTAAAAACAAAATTTTTTTTCAGTTATTTCCTCCCAACTAAAAATTGGTGATATGATAGTTTACATCGTAACTTAAAGAAATAAAAACGTCAGCTGGGTATAGCATGGTGGATTATACGTCAGCTGGCCATCCGAATATGTAAAAAAATTGTGTTTTCAGTGATTTCGACATTTATAAAAACGTACTTCAGTTCTTGCAAATGAAAATATATATTATATGTTTATAATATTTATTTCAGGACAAATTACCTTTAAAACAATATATTCTATCCAAACATATATAGACTAAATTTATTTTGAATTAATAAATTAAATAAAACATGATGTTTTATTATATTTATTGTTATTTTTTGCTCCATTCATATATGGTTGCTCTTGAGCTGGTTATGAATTGCGTATTGCGATATCGGTGCAGCAAAAAACTCCAAATTGTCAATTCACATTTAATTTACATTTGTTAATACTACTCACGAGTGTGAAAAATAAAAAGTGGTCTTATTAGGCAAAATTAGATATTTAAACAACATATTTCTTCACTGAAATCGAAGAAATAGAGAAACTCCTGATGTAATTAGAATTAAATCTAATTTTCATTTAACGATAACTTTTTGAGCAATCGTTTTTAATGCCTGGGGTTTTTTGACATTCATTTATGGGTTGTGAAGGTTTAAAAAATGTGTATTGGACAAGTGTGCCACTTGTGATATGCGAGATAATGAGTTATTCATAAGTGTAACTACATTTTTGCTGATTTTTGAAAATCATCAACTTTCTTATAATACTTTTTGAGCGATCATTATTTAACATTCGCCCATATAAAATTTACATTTTCAGCTATCCAAGAAAAGAAATCTGGGTGGTAGAACATTGGTGCCACTTAACATTTCTATGTAATCGTTCTGCGAAAACGTGTAACGAGTGCGTAACTCGTTCCCAAATACTGGTTTTTCGACTAGCACAACAAATTATACGAAAAAAATGTACATATCCTTTTGTAATTTGTTGTTTTAGTATAAATAAATATGTGTGAAAAATGCTCACCCCTAAAATTAACATTAAGGGTTGATATTGAACAATTTTTCACGAGAAAATTGGTTCATTAGTCTGTTTAAAGAGCCCTTGAAGAAAAAAATATATTTGAACGATCCCGGGTGGAATTTTGATGAATGTAGGTTCAGGCAAATGTAAGGAGGTGTTTTTTAAAGGGTTGTAAAGTATTGTAAATTTTCGAAAATGAAAGAGATAAGTAAAATTGCTCTAAAATATTAAAAAAAATGGAAAATTTGTTGCTTTTACCAAACATGTGTTTGGCCTTAAGAAAGTATTCTTTAAAAATGAATTATCTACAAAGTCACCGATGCGATGGGGTAATATCTACTTCTATTTAGAAAAATTATATCAAATCCATGAAGTTTCATTATTATTATAATTATAATTTACATCTTGTCAGGTACTTATAAAAATTTTGAAATTTATATGAAATTGTTAATTTCGATATTTTTTCCAATTACGATTTTCGTCCTTCTTTCGCCACAGAGAGGATTTCTTTCTTGGAGTAGCTTTTCTGAGTATAAAACGATTGAGATCAATAAGGATATCATCACAGTTTTAATTTAAATGGAAATTAGTGTGTATCTTAAAATAAAACTCATTTTCCTTGTTGAAATAAAATTCCATTTTAATTGTGAACATGTTTTTACGTTTAAGATTAAGGAAAATGGAGTTAGGAACTTTGTTTGAGAACATTTTCTCTTAAAAATACGTTTTACCTGCACTCATAACCACAAAAATGAAAATATGGTTTAAATATGAATTACGTGGTTAAAAATTTACTTATATTTGGTCGAAAAATAATAATTTATGGTAGACAAAAGTGTGCCACTAAATTGAAAATAATTTTTTTTTAAAACAAAAAGAACCCAGCTCGTGAAATTTGCCCATATAACAGATAATTAAAAATGATTTAATTAAAATAGAAAAATCAAATTACAAATCTTTTTTAAAAATTTCTTCTTGATTATTTGAGGATATTACAAAGAAGTTCGTTGGACATTTTTAGGACATGTTTGATACACTCTCGGAACATAACCTTTTTTCGGTAAATTAGCCCATAAGGATCAATATATATATATCACCAGTAATCGCGATATGCTTCTTTTGTCTATTTGGATCTTCAAGAGCACTTTGGTACTGTAGGTCGTTCGGCGTGTAAGACTTTATACCATCTAAATTACGCGCGCGTTAGGCTATGAAGTATACATAAATTCAATGTAATATTCATTTCGATTATTTATCAAAGATTTCGGAACTTTTTAGTACATTTTTCCTGATACATTAAAGGGATAAAAAAGCGGCTCCGTAGACATTTTTTATCATATATTTAGTACATTCTTACAAGGAACACTACCGAGGTGTACCTCATCGATTTCGCTCATCTTGTGAGATGTTGTAATTATTTGAGAAATACTTGACACGTATATTTTTATAAGAGCCCCATCGCGTATTTAGGGGGTAAAAACAGCCCCTAAAGTTAGTGATATGGGGGTTAAACTTGTTTCTTTAAACAACTTTTAAGTTTAAAAATGTATAATGTCACTAAATATAAACAAAAACTTATATTCCGTAAAGAAGATTCAAAAATAAAGCTGACATGTCTTTGAAATTTCCATGCAAAAAATATCTCAGGGGGTAACTACCCTTTCATTATACAAATATTTAAAAAAAATTAAATGCATTAAATGACGTAGTTAATTCCTCTATTTTATTGTATTATGACA